AACAAACTCAAGAGCACTATAAAACCCTATTCGGAGTAGCTTTTGGAGTTCGCCAAATCTTTTTTCGAGTCCAGTGTTTTTGCTAAGTTTTTCGTCACTGGTCCAAATATGGCGAAAGAGCACTATAAAACCCTATTCAGAGTAGCTTTTGGAGTCCGGCAAATCTTTTTCCGAGTCCAGTGTTTTTGCTAAGTTTTTCGTTACTGGTCCAAATACGGCAAAATTGAATACAGATATACCCTAAAGCACATACATATCAACCAAAAAGAAAAACCAAAAGAAAACTTTAAAAAAAGTAAAAATTCAGGGAAATATGGCACTTTCGGTGAAAAATTCGCTAAAATTCACCGAATTTTGGGCCTTCCATTAACCGCTTCTCAAGATAATTCAAATTTGCAGTATTTTACTCGTCTGCTTCTTCTGCTTCTAGCGGAGTTCGAACTCAGGTCTGTATTTCAACAGTTCAGGGGTGTACCAACTGAGTTAGGCCAGTTGGTGTTGATCTGCTTTTTTCTTTTGTAAAGATCAAAGGCAGGAGCCAACTGGGTGTAGCTCGGTAAGGCGTTCAAGCGGCACTCAGGAGGTCGTGGGTTTAATTTCCATTTCCCCCACGATAGTGTCTTTGGCATGCATGGCATCATACCTTCGAGACGGCCACTTGATAAGCAAGTGTGTGGTAACTCAGTGGGCAGAGCTCCAGTGTTGCAACGGGGAGGTTGTGGGTTCAACTTTGTCGGCCCACAATTCCCCCCGAGCACAATTGGTTGGTGTAGGTTGCACCCCACGTACTTGTCCAGGCGCCTTTACAAACTAACGACCTCAATAGCTCAGTGGGGAGAGCTCTGATATTGTAACTTGGAGGTCCCGGGTTCAACTGCATGCTATGCTCATCATGTCTATATATATACATATATATTGTTCGTCATATCAGCTAGGGATAATCCTCTGGACGGATTTGGGTAGGGACGTGTGCCTTTCCTGCGGGAGATCTGATGTTGGATGGATGCTACTCTCTTTGGGGCCGGAGAGTGGTAAGGGGTTGTGGTGATACCGTGGCAGTCCTTCGGTGGCAGGGGTGCCTTGAAGGGAAACCAATGTCGAATCAAGAGGTGTGTCCTACTCTCGATGGCTATAGACCCATTCTGGGGGGGGTAGGTTAGCAGCTGTGGGTCGGGGGTGGTTGATGAGGGTTAAGGTCTCCACCATTACCAGTGGTTGATTCTCCCTAGCGAACAGACATAACTTCACATAAGCAAGGCTCATTAGTAGCAGAAAGCAACCACATATATCCATACAGACTATGATATCACACTAGCTCACATAACAACCATCATATTCCACAACCAACAGTAGCCATATATGGACCGTGCTATGCTGGGTTGGTGCTTAGAGGTAGGGGGGCTCATGGGTTAGACCTTGGTTAGCCGGCCATTAGACACTGCCTATGGGTGCCCTCACGGGACTAGCTCCCGAGGTACCCATATAACGAAGCTAGTACGCGAGTGCCTCAACGCCAGTGCCTCATATAATGAGGCTGAATGGGGGAGCTCATTCAGCGCCAGTGCCCGTCCGCTGTCTGGTCAGGTTGCTTCACTAGAGTGTGATGTCCCTCGCATGAGGTAAGATAGAAAGGAGTGGGGGTGTGACAGGAGATGTATCGAGAGAGGTGGTAGGATGGGAGTCTCGTGAGTATGTTTAAAAAAAAAAAAAAAAAAAAAAAAAAGGGATCAAAGGCAGGAAGTGTGGTCGAATGATGCACGGGCGGAAGACTCCATATGTAGGGTGGCCTGGGATAAGCTTGTTCAACCAAGGCGCTTTGGAGGTCTAGGCCTATTGGACCCGCGATTGCAGATAATAGCGCTGCAGTTGCGTCATCAATTGATCTGGCATCTGTTGGCCACGGTCGGGGGGGGCTGGCAAGAACTCACTAGGACCCACCTGGCATATGCACTTCAAGTTCCCAGCGAGCTGGTAGATCTGTGCCTTCTTAGCCGCAAAGCAATGGGCCACATCCGCAGGGACGTGGTATGGTCCTCTAAGCTGGCTTTGTGGAAGAAGACGCGGTTAAGATGTCGTCTACTGGGGACAATGGATGCAGATTATAATCTACTGCTGTTTGACAACAGATCCATCTGCAACGAAGCAGGTGAGCCCTTTCAGTGGCATGGTGCGCGAGGAGCATTTGGGTGGAAATGGGCGGAACGGGGAACATGTGTGGGACGAGGACCGCAGGGATTGGCGCTCTGAAGATGAGGTGTTGGAATTGCTGCAGGGGCAGATGCGGAAAAGGCAAAGGCTTGGAGAACTGAGAGACGACATCCCCTCCCAGTGGATAGAGATGTTAAGAAGAGATGACATATCTCCTGGGGAATGGGTAACGATAAAAGGGACTTCAAGTATCTCAAAACGTAAGGACCATTAGAACACCACTTCATCATCCACAAGAAGCCCAAATACACACGACAGCAAAAACAGATACCGACTACATGGGTCAGTAGGTAACCTAGGGTTTAGGGTTTTGCAAGGAGTGCAGTAAGGACAGCCCCACGGTACACAGTTCATAGGATCTTACCAGAGGAAGTCAAACAGCAGTTCTAGTGAGAGAAGACAATCGGACAGCTGACGAGTGGAGAGGAGCCGACTGGTTGGAAAAAAGGAGGTTATTTCCAAGTAACAGAATAAACGGTACGCCAGGTTAGCAAATAGGAAGGAGAAACGTAGCGCAGGCTAACTTAGGCAGGGGTGAAGGGGGGTACATCCTTCCTGATGGAAGCAATCAATGCCATCCTTCGGACCTCCACACCAGAAGGGGGAGGAGCGTGAGAGTGTTCTCAATATGTATTTCTTTGACTTGCCGGTGGAATAGGAACCGGACTGATGCTCCCCAGAATGGATAAGGAGCCAGAGCCATAAGGTTCTGTTTTGTTCAAAAAAAAAAAAAAAAAAAAAAAAAGTTTATAGGGTCGAGGAGATGCTGCTGGATGACGAGCTCGAAGTGACCACCTGGCAGGTGTCCTCGGGGTACGATGGACTGGGGGAGCCCCTCCGGCAGTGTGCTGCACAAGAAGGGCCCCCCCGGAAGATGGTGGAAAGAAGTAAGATACAGATGGTGGCGGTGTGTGAAGGAGGCCCGGATGCGAAAGGGCAATACTTGCCATTTTGGGTTGCCGTGCGAAGGCGGGACTTGCAGTGGGATCCGGGGGAGTGGCAACTGTCGGCCTGTAGGATGCAGAGAAAGGCGGTGCAGCTCCAGTATCTCGCTACGAAGAACATCGACAACTCTCTATTGGACCCGGTGGACATATGTTGAGAATTGAAAATCCACTGGGCTAAGAGGGACTGGATTCCAGATGTGTATGTCAACAGATGGACTCAGCGTAGATGGAACGAGCAAAATGCCACCCTTGCTGCGCTGCCAGACCAAAAACAGGCAGGCCTGTTGTGGCAGCTCTACCACCTTGCAATTCCTACAGTATGATGGCTGGCAGCAAGAAGCCAACACAAGGATCAACAATGTTCAGCACAGTGTGGCCAGGTGGAGACCATCCCACATCTCTTTGTGAGATGCCCGGCGGTCCGAGACTTTTGGGAGTGGTGGGCACAGGAGATGGCGGACAAAACCCCCTTGGGGGTCACGGAGGCGGACAATGCAATAATCTTTCTTGGGGCCCTGATGAAGGTGGACAGGTCACAACCGCAGGACGAGATGGCTCTAGAGATCGTTAGGGCGGCAGTGCTGTGGGCTTTGTGGACTTTGAGGAAAGAGCGATGCAGGCAGGGAGCTGCGCCGCCACTGCGGGCCTACCAAGAAAGGGCAATGGAGAACATCAGAGTTGCCCTTTCGGCGGACTGGTATGGAGGCACGCGGAAAGGAAGGCAGGAGGAGGGTTTTGGGGCACGATGGGCGCCTTACCCGCAGCTGCTCACCTGACACCCTCAGACGGGTCAAATGCAGCTGGGCCCTGCACTGAGGCGACAAGGGCCAAGGATGGGTGGAGAGGGGGAAGACGAGGACGAGTAGACAGCGGGGTATACAGGATTATGAGAGCGACCGGTTTGTAACATAGGAAGGATAATGGGAAAAGCGGGATGGGAATAGTAGCAAAGATTTGCTGAATGGTTTATGTACAACAGATAGGTAGGTACAAAAGGTGGGAGATTAGATAGGTAAGGGGGGGGGGAAGTAGGTAGGGAGGATGGACGACCTTGTGGGGAAGAAACCTGAAAATGCTGGGGTTATCAAATAGTAGTAGGGAGATGCACACTGTAATTTTGATGGATGTTATAGATAGGCATATAGGGGAAAGGAATAGGCAAATGCTGGGGCCATCAATGGCAGATGTAGAATGTGACTCTGATGGATGATATAGATAGGCATAGAAATGCTGCGGCTATTAATGGTGGAAGGCAGAATATGAAATTTGACTTTGAAGGTGGGTATAGATAGATAAATGGCGGTTGAAACAGAAACCGTGTAAGCTTTGAGAGTTGCGATAAAGCTAGGTAGTAGGCTCTGTAGTGGCAGGAAATAGATGATGATCGGACAAGCAGGCCTCAGGTCCTGCCCAGCGGTGGACCACCCTACTGCGTGTCTGGGTGCTGCTAGTAAGTCTCCCGGCCAATAGGGTATCCCACTGGGGGAGGGCAATGGTTGGGGTGGGGAGTGCAGTGCATCCCCCCCCTTGCGTAGGGGATTAGTGCCACAAGGGTGTAGGCTGACCCTATTTTTCTGTCTTTTTCTTCCATTGTTCTTGTACAAACACACTTGCCAGGGATAAGCAACCGGATTGTTGCCCCCCAGAATAGGAGGGGCCTGTGTTCGGTTTGGGCCAAAAAAAAAAAAAAAAAAAAAATGCTGAGAAAAACACAGATTTCTTTGACCAGGAACTGTACGTTTTTTTTTTTTTTTTTTTTTTTTTTTTTTTTTTTTTTAAATGATCAGATTTTGTATTATTATTAGTCTGATCATCATTTTCGATCTCTGTCTTGGGTGACCACAGATTGCGGAAACATAATGTGGCTCGGCTCGGGCACCTTTTCCGATCCTGGAGAACGCGAAATGCGACCTTGAGAAGTGTGCGGTTGCTGCAGCAGAACCAGGTTCGGAAATGCATTTCGCAAGTTCTACAGGCATGGCAGAAGTATGCAGCGGAGATGACGAAAGCGGCAGTGAATCTCAAGACGTTTCGCGATGCTTCAGATAGAAGACTTACGTGCAAGTGCATAGAGTCATGGCGGAAAGCGTTGAACACAGAAGTCAAAAGGACAAGAAAGATGGAAAAGGTGATGGCGAAGTACGCATCGAGCAAGCTAGGAGAAAAGGTACTCAGGCATTGGAACGAATATGCGGCTTGCAGGTCTCAGGGACGACGATTGCTGTTGAAGGCTATGGAGAAGTGCGCTCAAATGGTGGATAGGGTCCTTACAGAGAATTTGCTTAAGGGGATTCTGAGAGAATGGAATGCGTGTTCGAGGGAAAGGTATGTAAAAATAGAAGACCAAGTGGGTTTGAAACTTCGAACTTTAAAGTTTAAACTTTGAAAACAGAAGGAAAAAAAAAGAACAAAAAAAGGTTGCTAGTACTTGCTACCCTAAAAATGGATTCCTAAATTGATCTTAGCCCAAGCCAGGTAATGGCCCCAGTGTTTCCAATGTCTTGTAAGATCATATATGGGACTCCGGAACCGGTTCCCAGCACGTGCTTGCTCCCCATGAATAGATTGGAGCCTTGTTTCAAGTTGTTTGTGAAAAGGGGTTAGCTTAGGCCCTATTGTCTCATCTGCATGTGATCCTAGCAGGATTTGAACTTGTGATCTGTTTGTCAATAATTACATGTGTACCATTCAGCCAATCGGTGTGGAAGGTAAAGGTGCAGAAAAATAGAAGACCAATCGGGTTATTTAAAAAAGAAAAAAAAAGGCCCAATTAATGGGAAACAAAGTGGGTTACATTTCAAAACTTCTTTTCTTTTTTTAAATGGAGAAGCCCCTATTGTCTCATCTTCATCTGATCTCAGCCACATGGGTATAGTTAATAGGCTCCCCAACTGCGTTACCAACCAGATGGCGCAGGTCACCTTGGTTGCCCAGGAAGCTGGGGCGGGCAAGGGCCAGCGAACGTTGCTGTAAAAACAACAACAACAACAACAACAACAACAACAACGCTATGCAGAAAAATAAACTGAACAACTTTTTTCTTTTTTAAAACAAAAAACAAGCAATATTATATGCTGGGAACCGGGCCCAGTGTCCCTTACGAAGGTGCCGCAGTTCTCGAGCTGAGCAAGGCAGTTCGGCCAAGCAGAGCCTGGGCCACGGTATTCCAAGTCAACAAAAACACGAAACCCAAATCACCATATGCCCTATCCAATTCAAAACAAAAACACAAACCCAAAGAATAATAAGTCCTATTCAGTGTGAGTGGAGCAAAGAATAGCTATCGGGAGAAGTGGTGAGCCTCCAGAACTGAGTGGCAGAGCGCTACCGGGAGCGCTCCACCCCCCAACGTTTTGATGCGACGGTAGGCTCCTTGGTGAGGGTGGGAAACGAAGAACGGCCGGGGCGCCATGATGGCAGTTTCGACGCGAGGGCGAGAGTGCGGGGGGAGAGGACAGCAGGGGGATGATGAGGCGGAAGTGGGATCGTGGGGCATGGAGGAGCAGGCTAGTGGTGTCCGGGCGTTGCTGAAGGCTAACTTGTTTGCTGTTTCTGTCACGTGCTTGCGTGCCTGAGAAGAAGAACACAGGGGCAGCGTGTCTCATATCATGGTCTCGTTGGAGTGGAGGAATGTTGCGGGGGGGAGTAAGGGGAGGCAGGCAGGATTTCATGGGCGAGAGGGAGAGTATTACAAGAAGGAATGGAAGGAGGAACGCGAGAGTGACGAGGGGAGTCAAGTCGGGGCCCCAGTTGTTGCGAGGGACTACCGTTTGGTGTTTAGATACAACTCCCCCAGGGTACCTAAACCAGCAAGCAGATTCCTCAGGATGTCACAGGACACAGCCCCAGGCCTCACACTGCAGGGTTGGAGAGGAAGTACGATGCAAATCATGACCAGGCACATGCTGAGGAATCACTTGAATTAGAATGGAGACCGGGGGGTGGTGGGGACTGTGTTTCCGCAAGGGCTCCCCTTCCCAAAAGGAGCCTCACCGGTCTTGGTTCTTTTTTATATGAACGATCCAAGTGACGAACCAGGGAATCAAATTCTCTGGTTAACACAGCGGGAGCTCCTGGACACCCCTATGTCTAGACTCAGATCCAATAACATTTGGGCAGCAGAAGAGCAGGCAGAATTCATCCTACATCCACTTGAAGAGTCGGCTCTAGACGAGGATAGAACCTGGGACGACCCGCCCTTCGTCAACAGCCTCTCATCGGGCACAGCACAGGCCGCCTGAGGGTGTGTCTCATGAACAGAAATCAAATGCAACACGACGCACAGCAAAACGTCCCGCTCCAATGCCCAAGCCCTCCGCGCCCGCCTCCTTAGCTAAGAAAACAACCGCTGTGGGCAAAAAAACTGGCAGAGGCTGACCTTGATGTGAGGTCTATAAACGTTAATGGACTGGCTCAACCGAACGACCAGAAAAAGACGGCGCTATGGAAACTGATGACACAGGACCTCGGAGGGGGGTGGCCTAATGCCATAGGAATACAGGAAACACATCTTACTGATTCCCCCACACACCAGGAGAGGGCTAGACAAGTCTGGCCATACACCTCCTTCTCAGCGCCGGCCCGATCCTCCTCTTCCACTGGGGTAGCCATTTGGCTCCCCCCGTCATCCAGACTGCAACCATTACACGCGGAGTAGGACAAGGAGGATGGTAGGTGGGTCTGGAGGATGGTAGGTGGGTCTGGATCAAAGCAATGGTAGGTACAGAAGAGATATATTTGGTCTGCGTGTATGCCCCGAATGATCCGCTACACCAGGTACAGTTCTTTACGACGCTTCAACAGCTTCTCCCGACAGATGCTCCCGTTATCATGTGTGGCGATTTTAAGACCACCCCTGATCCCAACGTGGATAGGAGGTCCCAGTCCCAACAGACACAAGGGCTGGAACCGCACAGGGACAAAGGCCCGGATAGCGTTATGCTAGATCACATGATGGATGGTATGGGCCTCATGGACTCGTATCGACAACTACACCCAGCAAAAAGAGCCTATACTTGCGTCAGATCTCGAGGTGCAGCGGGGATTTCCAACTCTAGGATTGACCTGTGCCTGCTTTCAAATGAGTTGGCAGGCCTGCTCACAGCAGCCGAAATTCTGCCATTCTCCCCATGTAAGTCTTTTGATCATCACATGATAGCAATGGGACTTTCTTTCCACTCCCACATCTCAAAGGGCCCCGACTACTTCAAGTTCAATACATCTTTGTTGAAACTGCAATCCTTTCAAGTGATGGTCAAGGATTTCTGGGCTTACTGGAAGACACAGAAACAGAACGACTGCTCGATTGTCAAATGGCTCAACCAAGGGGTGGCGCAACTAAGAGAGCGGGTCAAAAAGTTTGCCATCAAATATGCTCGTGATAGAAAGGCAACAATTGATAACCTGCTGTTACAGTTAGAGGAATGGGATGCACACCTCATGTCTAACCCATTAGACCACGCCACTTACAATGCCCTCCAGAATGCAAGACAACACGTGCAAGACCATCTTGACGAGCAAATGCAAAAATGGAGAGTGCAAGCCAGAATAAAAAGAGACTTCACTGAGGGCACAATGTCAAAAGCCTTCTTTGCCAAAGTGAAGGCCAAGAGCAGACAAAACATTGTGCCCTCTCTTAAACACCCATTTGACGACAACCAACCGTCGACCACAAATGCTTACAAAATGGTGGAGTACGCCTCCCTATACTACCACAACTTGTTTACATCAGGCACGCCACATAGACCACCCCAAGTCCTAACGCAAGCAAGGAACTCCCTACTGGGGTCCCTCCCATCTCTCCTCTCCACAGTCCAAAGGGACAACCTGGAAAAGCCCGTGTCCACACAGGAGATCCTCAAGGCCTTGCAAGAAATGGATGACGACAAAACGTCGGGACTGGACGCGTTCCCCAAAGAGTTTTGGTTATTTTTTTGGGACAATCTGGAGGAAGATTTCATGGACTATGTCAATGCAGTCCTTCGGGAGGAATCCTTTGGACATCTGATAGGTCAGGGGGTGATGACGCTTTTATACAAAAAAGGCAAAAAAGAAGAGATCAGAAATTATCGACCGATCACCCTCCTACCCGTGCCCTACAAGATCGTGGCTAAGGCGTGGGCAAACAGGCTGCTGCCCCTGCTTCCTAATCTCATTCACCTAGATCAATCAGGTTTCATGCCGCACCGAAATATTCAAGATAACATACTATTGGTGAATGAGACGATTAGGTACGCAAGGCAAAGAAAGGCAGAAGTGGCCATCCTGTTCATAGACTTCTAGAAGGCTTATGACCATGTCGACTGCGACTTCCTGGACTTGTGTCTGACTACAATGAATTTTGGTCCGCTGTTCCAGAAATGGATTAACATTCTCCACAGAAACGCCACGACTAACATCATGCTAAATGGTCACCTAGCCTCTCCATTTCGCCTCCAGTGATCGGTTAGACAGGGTGACCCGATAGCGCCCATGCTGTTCGTTCTAGTGATGGAAGCCTTGGCTGCCATAATCAGATGCAATCCGGATATCCAAAAAATCGGTGTGCCAGAAATCCCGAGCCATTTGATTCCAGTCACCTCGCTGTTTGCTGGCGATCTCACGATACTTTTTAGAGCAAATAGCCAAAGTTTTACAGCATTGGCTCACACGATTCACCTATTCGAAGTCGCAGCAGACATGAAAGTGAACTGGGGCACCAAACTGAAGGCTGGTGGCTACATCCGCAAGACACCCCCCCACCAATAGACCCCTAGGTCACATGGAGAACGAAAGAGTCAGCAATAAGGGTTCTGGGGGTGAACATTACGGCCCTGGGGCCTCCCCAAGACCATGAAGAGGCTCTGGTGAACGTGGCGATTCAGAGGATGTCAAAATGGGACACAAAGCCTACATCACTGGTGGGGAGAGTGCTGGCAATCAACAACGTCATCCTCGCCTCCATTTGGTACAAAGTGGCCTTCTGGGAAATAGGTCGTAAACAATTGTCCAAACTTAAACAGGCCACATCGTTGTACCTATGGAAAAATAATCACGAAGACACCCGCGCCATAAGAAGGGTGGCTTGGGATACTCTGACGCAGCCAAGATCAGAAGGGGGATTGGGGATAATCGATCCGGAGGAAGAAACAAAGGCACTGCTGCTCTTATCAGCACCCCTAGCAGACGATCGGGTTGTTTTGGGGAAAAAAAAAGAAAAAGAAAAAAAAGAGAAAAAAGAAAAGAAGAAGCATTAATCCGCCAGTTCACGCCCCCAGCCTTGCTCAAAAGAAACTCGTCGCCTATCCGGAAAAGTGGGCGCCGACACGCCGTCGATAAAAGAAATCGGCGGCCGGCGTCACTTTTCAGCCTCCGACACGTCCCCGCGGTCGATGTGAGGCGTGTACTGGTTGTTTAAACCACCAGTACCCCGCGCAGCCATTTTTCCTGACGCGGCTGTTAATGCACTGCAAGTTTCGCGGGTCGGCCTAGTGGGCTAAAACGGCTGGCGGAGTCAGCCAAAGGGAGGCCCATGCCGGTTCATTTTTTTTTGGCGCGCAGGGCGTTACCAGGCTCGGCAAGGTAAGCGTCAAAGGGACTGGTGGTTTAATTGCGATTTTGCATTCCCATTATTACTGGTGGTTTAATTGCTCTTTTCAGTACTGGTGGTTTAAACCACCAGTACCCCGCACAGCCATTTTTTTCCCGACGTGGCTGTTAATGCACCACAAGTTTCGCGGGTCGCCTACTGGGCAAAATGGCTGGCGGAGCCAGTCAAAGGGAGGCCCATGCCGGTTCATTTTTTTGGGGCGCGCAGGACG